CCCCAAAACCCCAAAACCCCAAAACCCCAAAACCCCAAAACCCCAAAACCCCTTTGAGTGCTATATAGTTGATTATAAAATAAATGGAGTTTACAGAGAGTTTAATGAAGCTTCGCACTTTTAATCATAAATTCATTGAGGCTAGGACAAATCGAGAGAGGAATAATACTACAAACTTGAAGAGATATACAATGAAGCCAGTGATGAACAGAATGAATAGTCACAATGACTTATCCGAAAAAATTAATAATAGAGATAACATTTTTGGATTCTTACAGAACAGAAAATCTATTAACGTCAAAAAGGAAAATTTTAAATTTAATAAAGGAGATAAAACTATTAGTGAAAAGTCCGACTCTTCAAATGCTTGAACTAGTAATGTACAAAAGATTCATTAAAATTTTACTACCTTCTGGCTCTTCTCTATATTTATTGCATCAGTCTTGTATATCACCTAATTTCCACCAGATATTCCTCCTACTTCATTCACTCTATTCCCTTGCACCTTATGAGACACAATACCTATTAAAACTTGCCATTACTTTAATCTCCTCACTCCACACAAAATCCTTCTATTCCACTACAATCCTCTCATTCCCAGTCTAGATCACTGACTGTAGCCAAAAATTGAATTACAACCAAGAAGAGTACTTCCTCTCTTCAAAAGCTGACATCCGGATGTACTATCGGCACTTGAATAAAAATCTGAGTAATCCTTGGTCTCTAACCTGTAGCCCAGCTTGAGATTGACAGGAGAAAGAGGAAGAAAATTGACCTTGATAAGGAAACTAGGGAGAAGAATGATGAAATTTCGAAAAAAGTTATTCAAGAATTTCAATATGAAGAGAAAGCAGGGAAGATTGGTCTAGCTAATCAGTGGAGAAGAGAGAAATTGGGAAGAAGACAAGGGACTCAGAAGTTTGAGAAGGAGAGTAGTAGGTATGAGAAAGGAAGGTCTGAGACAGCTGAGACTGAGAGAGGGAGAGAATTAATGAATGTGTGAAATAGTGTCAGGAGAAAAGGAGTTTTGGACAGGAAACAGAGCAGAAAGGACCAACAAAGTTGCTCTAGCTCCCCTATGCATGAGAAAAGGTATGGCATTAAGCAGTATGTGATTCTTTATTTCAACAGGATATGTAAATAAATTTTCACTGGTCAATTCATTGATTATTTCATACTTCCCGTTGAATGCCATAGACTCAACTTGTTTTTATAGGATCTCTAAAAGAATAAGATTTGTTGAGCTTCTATCCAGAAATGATACAAAAACTTCAAGCAAGATATTTCATTCGTTTAAAATCAAAAGGATGAATTATCAAAAGAAGATTTCATTAAGAAGGTCATCACGACAGTTAAGAGAGCAAGTAAAGTTTCAAATGAAGGAAAATGCACTGAAGAACAAAGATATGACAAAACATATCCCTCTTGATTCCAAAATATCACGTGCAGCTTTAACCTTCCAAAGATATCACAAAGTGACAAAGTTCCACACACAGAGGTCACTTGTGGATGTTTCATAAACACATTCAAATTTCTAAAAATTTAAAGGGGTTTTGGGGTTTTGGGGTTTTGGGGTTTTGGGG